GATTCCACCACAAGCGGTATTTATATACTCATTAGTTTTAGAAGTTTGGAAAAAAAAAAAACCCCAAAAAACTATTCCTAGCACTAAAAGTGTATAATCAAATGGAGCAACATCACTTACTAACCTCATTCTCTTTTTTTGGGGGGGGAAGGGTAGAGGGAGAGAGAGAATCTTAAGCAGGCTCCATGCCCAGCACAGAGCTGGATGCAGGGCTTGATCTCACAATCCTAAGATCATGACCCGAGCTAAAATCAAGGGTTGGATGCTTAACTGACTGAACCATCTAGGCACCCCTACTGGGCTCATTCTTGTTGGGCAGGCAGTAAGGATAGAGCTTTTAGGAGAGAAGCAGACATTTTGTGTATATATATATCTCCTTTTCAGGAAGGGTAAGCTCAATAGCAGAAGAAACTGTAGGAAACTTTCTGAATAATTTTCTTAGGCTGTGTAAAGTGGTAGTCTAGCTGCAGGCGTAACTCCTTATTTTTTAAAATATGCCCACTTCCTAGATGTTGCCAGACATCTTGCAGGTGTATTCAACTATAGCTCAAATAAGTAGTAGCCTTCAGTTTATGATTTCTCAATTAAATTAATATGTTCCCAGCATCTCCTTGAGGACAGACAGTAGATTAGAAAGCTACACATCTGTAACACTGTTAAGTGGGGGGGGGGGGGAGGGAGGAAACAATCTAAATATTCAACACTAAAGACTGGATAAATCTGGGGCGCCTGGGTGCCTCAGTTGGTTAAGCGACTGCCTTCGGCTCAGGTCATGATCCTGGAGTCCCTGGATCGAGTCCCGCATCGGGCTCCCCGCTTGGCAGGGAGTCTGCTTCTCCCTCTGACCCTCCCCCCTATCATGTGCTCTCTCTCATTCTCTCTGTCTCAAATAAATAAATAAAATCTTTAAAAAAAAAAAAAAGACTGGATAAATCATGTAAACAGAATACTATGAAGTAGTAAACAAGAATGACAGAGCTCTTTGTATGCTAATATGAAATATCTCTAGAATAAATCCAGTGAGAAAAGCAAGGTACAGAATTGTGTAGAGTAATATGCTGCCATTTGATTTTAAAGGGAAAAAAATGAATTGGCACGTACGAAATTGCTTATATATTTAAAAATCTCTAGAAGGCTATTTTCTTTTTTTTTTCTTGGAAAGACAGAGAACTGGTGCATGAAAGACAGGAAGGGGGAGGAGAGGCATAGGAAGAGGGGGGTAGGTGGGGAGGGGGAGAGGGAGAGAGAGAATCTTAAGCAGGCTCCATGCCCAGCACAAAGTCTGATGTGGGGCTCAATCCAACAACGCTGAGCTTGTGACCTGAGCCAAAATCAAGAGTTGGATGCTTAATCAATGGAGCCATCCAGGTGCCCCTCTAGAAGAATACTTTAAAACCTAATAAGATGGTTTGGGCAACTCTTTCTGCCCACAAGTCCTGTCCCCATGCTTCAGTAAAACCATTCTAAGTAAGTAAGTAAGGAAGTAAATAAATAAATAAATAAGACCTAATAAGATGGTTTGCTTATGAGAGGGGATCTGAGTATATAATGGGCAAAGTAAAATGACTCCTTTCATTGTATTTTTAAAATTCTTTCTGAAATTTGAACCACGTGAATATATTAACTATTCAGATTTCTTAATGTGAAATTACATGGTCTAAGAAATTAACAATATAGTTGGAAAAACCAGAAAATGTTTTAAATTAAGTGTTTCCAGTTGTTATAAAAGAGAAAGATACTAAATTTGGTGGCAGTCAGGGATAACTCCACTAGAGTGCTAATTAGCAGGTCTATAAGAAAGATATAATGATTGGATTATTATATCAGTTTATCTGACTGATGAAGTTCCTCTGCCTTTGAGGGTACCAAGGAATCAATGTGATATAGTGGAAAGAGCATGGGTTTTGAGATCAGGCAGAAATAAATTCAAATCCTAGCCTTTCCATATATTGGTCTTATAAGCTTGGGTAAGTTATTTAAACTTTTTGGAGTTTCAACTTCCTCATCAGAAAATGGGTGAAATCTTAGTAAGTTTATTATAAAGGTTAAATGACATAACATCCAAGTGCAACACATTTTTTGGTTTACTTCCTTCCTTACATAGACAGGCTGAACTGAGATGCACTGACATGCAGAAATTAAGTGTCCTGAGAAAAAACAAGTTGCACATGAAAGAACTACAGTTAAAGTAGTTAAAGTAGCTTAAGTCCCCGTATCTACAATTTGTCAATCTCATATTTCTTTTTTTTTTTAAGATTTATTTATTTATTTATTTGACAGAGAGAGACACAGCAAGAGAGGGAACACAAAGCAGGGTGAGCAGGAGAGGGAGAAGCAGGCTTCCTGCGGAGCAGGGAGCCCGACGCGGGGCTCCCCGATCCCAGGACCTAGGGATCATGACCTGAGCCGGAGGCAGACGCTTAACGACTGAGCCACCCAGGTGCCCCCAATCTCGTATTTCTTATAAAAAAATGAAGATTTTTATTACTTCAAAAGTTTTAAAAATCCTTGGGATATACAGTTTCTCCTTTTACCTTTTCCTTTTATGTCTGAAAGATGGTCAAAAGGAAGAGTGCTTTGAAATACACTACAACTACACCTTAAACAATACTTCTGCTGGTTTTTTGGAGGAAAAACGAATTTCCTAAAAGAGGGATTTTGCTCTCTACTGCTTATTTAGCATTTGAAAAATCAGTGTATTTTCTTTAGTTGCAAATACCATCTTAAGATATGATGTATCAAAAGCAACATTACCCAATAAATCACACTAAACTTACTGATATTTTACACTGAATACTTTGAGTGTGATTTGATATATTCACCAAATGTATTACTTGATATAGTAATTGACTAAATCATTTCTCAGTTAGTTTTCACTTTTGTAACACCACATGATGTGGTATGTATAGAAATATTAAATTCATGTTTAATGCAGTCTCAACAATAGCAGTCACCAAAATCTAGAAGATTGGGAGTCACTAAATCCTAAAATGATTACTCAATTGTTGTTAAACTCCTGGCAACAAGTGTCTCAGGTAAAGATCCAAGTGAAACAAAGATTATTGCTCAATCATATTTTCCTGGCTACATGCAGGGTTGATTGCTAGACACTGAGTAAAGAGTGTGTATTTCTCTTTCAAATATATTGGGAAAAATGCATATGCCCAGATTTCCTTTCTCTCTGTTCTTGAGATTCGTTACATTTGTTCAAAGAATTTAATGAGTTTGTTCAGGGAGTTGCATCAGAAATTATTTTTGTATTAATGGTAGGAATGACAAGCAGTTCCTTTGTAATATTGCACCAGTCAATACCTGTTTTTGCCTAGGGATGTATCCATACCAATTCTGGATAATCCAGCTTTGAAGTGGGTTGGGCAGAGCTGAGTTTTTTTTGTTGGTGCTATTAGTTTGGGTTGTGACCTCTCACACATGCCTTCAAAATTTAAACATCACTGAGTATACAGGCTAATTAAATTCCATAGATTCTAACTAAAGACAGTACACAGGGCATTTGTATCAAAATAGTTTTGTAGAAAAGGTACAAGAATTTTTTCCATTTCCTACAACTTATTATCTAGAAAGAACATTCACCTAACATATTCTGCTTATAGAAAAGACTTCTTTTTTTGTATGTGAAATGCCAAAATTAGAAATTACCATGCCAAAGAAATGTTCACAATCTCCAAAATGTTCTTTAAGCTTGGCAGAATCAAATTTTAAAAAATTGTTATGTATATACATTTAATATTTATTTATTTTAGGGAGAGGGATCGCCAGCGAGTGGGGGGAGGGGCAGAGGAAGAAGGAGACAGAGAATCTCAAGCAGAGCAGGAGCCTGACCGCGGCTGGATCTCACCACCGATGAGATCATGACCTGGACCAAAATCACCAGCCGGTCGCCTTACCGACTGAGCCACCCAGGCGCCCCCAAATCGTTGTATTCTTTACAGAATTTTCAGATTACAGTTCAAGGTAGGTGAAATATTACAAACTGCAAATCAAGATATACAAAGACCTTTGTTAGAGTTGCAAGAGAGGAGATGTGCCAAATCTCATGCTTTTAGCCAACCTAAGTCATATGGACATTCTCTGGGTCAAAGGACATTTGCCATACAAACTTCACCAAACGCCTTTCTGTTGATCTTTGATCATAGGATTAGTTGAAGCATGAGTATTTTAAAGCCCCTCTTTATTGACAAAGGAGATAGAGGGATAGAGATAGGGATAATAGAAGTAGAGATAGATCCTTAGAAGGGGGAAAGACACCTCCGCACGCCCCCCCCCAACTGCGGCCCCCTGCCTTAGCTAGCTTGTTTTGCATCACGGAGATCTGACAAGAATTAGTTTGGTTGGCAGGACCCAGGAGCAGGTGGAAAACTCCTGAAGGAAGAGTAACTAACCAAAATGGGTCTTTAAGTTTGGCACTTTGCTAACCGCCTTATGTTGGTTATCTGATGTATTCATAACAACAACGCAATGAGGGACGTACTAATATTAGCCCCATTTTACAGATGAACGAACTGAAAGTCAGAGATTCAACACAAAACGCCCGTAGGTCACACAGCAAATAAGTGGCGGCACCAGAATTCCTAACAGCTCCAGAGCACGCACTCTTCACACCGCTTTCAGCCCTACGGTCCGATTTCCTCGAGCTGTTCGCGGCCTTCCCACCTTCCCTGGTGGGACAGTTCCCAGTACTGAGGCATGGCGCTGTCCAGCCCTCAGGCCCGCCGCCTTCCACAAGCTAGAGAACGCGGCGCCGCGAGGCCATCCCGCCTGCAGGTTGTAGAACTGCCGCGCCAAGCCACGTCCCGGCACGCGGGCTGGCCGAATCGCCTCGGGGCGGCCATCCCAAGCAGCCCCCCTGGTCCCCTCAGCTTCGCGCGCTGGGCTCCACTCGGAAAGACTGGAGGCGCCAAGCAAGAACAGCCCTGCCTCCTCCCCTGTCCCAGCCCCCACACCCCCCCAAAGAGCCAGAGGCGTAGGTTACACAATCTCACCTGTCCCAGAGGTGGCGACCGCTCTAGTGACTGACGCTCCGCTCCTCCAACCAGGGGCTGTCAGGAAGGTGGAGACTAGATGAGACTGATTGCTTCTTTCCTCCAATCCCCGTGCAGCAACTCTCCGGCCGCAGTCTCGGCGTCTGGCGGAGAGCGACAGGTGGGAGCTTCGTAACCTCCGTACCTCTTGCATCCTTGACAGATAAGCCCCACTAAACTCAGGGTGAATTCTACTCCAAATCTTACCAATCCTTGAGGGTCGTCACCTCTGCCGTCATTTTAATCAGAAGTGGAAATTCCCCAACCTTTTCCCGTCACCTCAGAAGGGGGCGGGATGAATGGTACTATTGCGGGCCAATTGTACCACGCGACGTCCTGTGACAAAGTGATCGACACTTTATGGCGCCAATGAAGCCTCCCATTGTCAGGGGTCACTATGACTGACCACAAGGCGAACTAATCCACTTTAAGGTCGTGACGCAATAGTTAGAGAGGTTGACCAATAGACGTAGAAAAAGACCGGAAGTCGGCGCGTGGGGACTAGGAGGCGGGTGTTCGCAACCGCCTAGGCCTACGCGGGTCAACGCAGCTTGGGGGCCGCGAGCCAGCAAGCCGCGCGTGACGAAGAGCCTGAGCGACGGGTTACCTTGGCCAATGATCTGCAGCTGCTGGGGAGCTGCAACCAGTGGCGAGTGTGGGGGGCGGGAGGCAGCAGGTTAGGCAGTGAGAAGTTAGTGGCGCTGCTGGGACGGGGGGAAGGAGAAGCTTCTTCCTCCTGCTGTTCCTCTCGTTCCCGGGATCGGCGGCGGCGGTGGCTGCGAGTGACTCGGCAGCGTCTCCGGCTCCGCGTGCGAACCATGCTGACCGATGGCGGAGGCGGCGGCACCTCCTTTGAGGAGGATCTGGACTCGGTGGCTCCGCGATCCGCCCCAGCCGGGGCCTCGGAGCCGCCTCCGCCGGGAGGGGTCGGGCTGGGGATTCGCACCGTGAGACTCTTTGGGGAGGCCGGGCCCGCGCCGGGAGTCGGTGGCGGCGGCAGCGGTGCGGCCGGAGGGGACGCGGCGCTGGATTTCAAGTTGGCGGCTGCCGTGCTGAGGACCGGGGGTGGAGGTGGTGCCTCTGGCAGCGACGAGGACGAGGTGTCCGAGGTACGCTTCCAGGACCCCCGCGTCCCATACAGTGTGAGGCACGAATTCTCTTTGGGTCAGCACAGGGCCCGGGCCACCCTCTGGCTCCCCGGGCGGAGCCGTTCTCTGACAGTGATCGGCTCCATGGCGGCATTGGCAGCGGTGCGGGCCTAGTGCGCCCTCAGCTTACTCTTCAGCCGGCGGCTCGAGCCGGACCGGTTCCCGTCACCATCCGTAGACCCACAATGGGGAGTCCTCTGGTCTCTAAGCTTCGCGCGGGAACAAGGACTCCTCTGGCTACCTCCCGCCCACCCCGCTTTGGAGATGGGGGGGCGGGGTCTTGCCAGAGTCCCTGCCCTTGGTACTGAGAGCGAGCGAGACATGGAGAGGGAGAGAGAGACCGAGACAGAGCTTGCTAGCTGAAAGAGCATTTCCAGTATATGCATGTTCCCAGAGTTGAGTTGTCTGTCATTTATTTGCCCTGTGCCTTACCTGTGCATGAAAGAAGTGTTCTTAATTTCCTTTTTTAGTTTGAGACAGGTTAGTATGAAGAAGCTGTCTGCTTTTACCCTAAGAAAGCACGTGAGTCTTGCACCTGGGACCTTTTGTGAAGTTACGCAGGAAAAGGAAATTCCAGTGCATCTCTGAACTTCAAAATAGCTGGATAGCTGAAGTCTGTATTTTTTAGGCTTGGAGAAGGTGAAACACTGAACAGCTTTTGCGGCAGTTAATGATCAGATCCTTCATTTCTTGTAACTCTTTAACTCTTAACTCTGGCTTTTTAGGTCTGAGCAACCTGGGATGGACGGCATCATCATCTTTTGGGCCCTAGGGAATAGGGAGATATATAATACATATATATATTATATATATACTTTTATCTCTTGACTATGGCTTGGATATAGTACTGTTCCTTGATGGCTATTGTTCTAAGTGCCAGAGTATTCTATTTTGGTTCTAAGGTGCCTGGTTCATTCCCCTATGACCAATTATTTTAGCCTCTGATCTTGCTGTTAAAGTACAGAGATTTCTCTGTGTACAACTATCTTGGCTGTTGTATTTGAGAGGAATAAGAAACTATTTATGGGTTGCAGAATACAGTTAGTGCATTGTCTTACCATTCTACCATTGTCTTACCATGTCTGAACAGGGGTTCATTTAGACTTAAAATGTTAGTACATTTTAACTCCAGTGTTTTGCTTTGGAAAAAATAGTGTGTGGGATGTAAGGAAGCTAGTCCCTTGAATGTCTGTATCTTTGAATTTCACTTTAAGAGAAGTAACTTCTAAGTCAAAGTGGGACAGGATTTTATTTGAGTAGGCAGTTATAGGGAGAGTCTCTGGAGCACCTCCACTCTTGTGCTTATGGAAGACTTTCTTCCATCCTTTCAATGAAAATTGATGAGAGAGGAACCTAAAACACATGTACTTTTTACCTACAGAATTAAGTGGGAATACCTTTAGATTTTAAAGATTAGAGTCTTTTTTTGTTTTAACTTGTAAGAGAGCCTGAAAAGGTTTGCTTTGGTCTAAATGTAATGTCCTTGATTTTCTGGACCATTTTTACATAATTATTATAGGTAAAGTGAAAGATCACTAATTCACTTTTACATAAATAGTATTCTTACATTTTTTCGGAGGTAGAGTGATAGTGAGCCTCCAAAGTCATAAATTTCTAACTCTTTTGGCTCATGTGTTGTATCTGGGAAATGAGCTTTTTAAGTAACCATTTCTGTGAGGCTTGTACACACACGCACGCACATACACGCACACACACGCACGCACACACACGCACACACAGTCTCTCTCTTCTAAAGCTTACTGTATTTCATTTGGATTCCCCATACCATGTGATTAAAGCTGTGAGCAGAATCGACACCTTTTTGTTTTTTTGATGTTTACTGTGGAAGTTATTTATTAATGATTCTTGTACTCATTTAGGCTAATGGTAGAACTCCTTAGTTTCCTGTTGGGGGGTTTTCTGTGCCAGGATTTAGATATTAAGTGTATATGGGTGGGCCTCATTTTTGGAATAAATGTGTCTGGGATACCCAGAGACTTTATCATAGTCTAAGATGATGCTCAGGGTGCACATAGATTCTTTCTTAACCTGTAGAAAAAGGAAATTTTGTTTTTATGTCTTCTTTCTTCTATATCACGTAGAGAAGAAATTCCTGGAGTATCTAGTCTTTGCTGTACAGTATGTGTGGTAGAGTATAGTCTATATGTTTGTGAGTGAAATGACCTATTTTGCCCAAGCAGATTTCTTTCTTTTTTCTTTTCTCTTTCAAAGGATTAGCCATTTTCTCCCATATCATTGCCTTTCAATTTCCATTATGAAGAGATCATAATGTTCAAAAAACACTCACCCAATTGGCATTTGATGAATAATACTAAAATCTTTATTTTTGTCTTCCCTAGATGTTTTAGAACCAAGTATTTAGAATCTAGAAATCCAGAAAGATAACGAGTTATTTTATAGTTTGAGAGCAAAATTTGTCTTGTTCCTCAAATGGGGCAGGACTCGGTGAGAAATAAGTAAGAAATGTGGAGGCCTAGTTTATTTGCTCTGGAATTAGTTGAAGTCTTATACATTTGGTGTACAGAGGCATAGATACTCTAGGGACCTCTCTTGTGTTCATTATGAGAGCCAATAGCTAAGAAAAACCAAGCTGTTTTCCCTTGCTGGCTAAGTTAAAAGACGTTTTAGTTTAAGGAATGGGTTTGGGTCTTTTTGTAAATTTTTTATTAGAATTATAGTAGCTTAGAGAATGCCACCATTTGGGATCTTTGGTTCTTGTTTCAAACATTGGTAAATATCTGTTTTGTATTTCTTCAGGCATAGCAAGAATGTTCCTTAGCTGTCCAAGGTCTTGAATAGAAATCAGAACTTGCATTGGATCCTGTTGAAACCATTGTTTAGAATAGCGATCAGGTTGAAAATTCTTTAAAAAACAATTTTTAAATGTTGATTTTAGATTTGTAGTCTTTTTTAAGCAAGTAAAAAAGAAGAAAATACCTAAAGAAAAGACTTTTGTGAGGCTTATGACTAAATTTTCTGTTATAAGAATATACGCGTATATATGCGTGATATTCTTTTAATTTTTTTTTTAAAGATTTTATTTCTTTGAGAGAGCGAGAGGGTGAGAGAGACAGAGAGAGAGCACGAGCGGGGGTGGGGTGGAGGCAGAGGGAGAGGGAGAAGCAGGCTCCCCACAGAGCAGGGAGCCCAAGACGGAGCTCGATCCCAGGACCCCAGGATCATGACCTGAGTGGAAGGCAGATGCTCAGCCAACTGAGCCACCCAGGTGCCCCCTCCTTTTAAAATTATAAAAGTCATATAGTCTCATGTTGAAAAATTCAGCAGTGTAGGTAGTAGATATAAGGTGCAAAGTAGAAGTCCTTCTCACCCCCACTGACCCTTCAAATCCCATTCTTCAGTGATAACCAATATTATAATTTTTTCAGTAAATTTTCTAGGCCTATATAAGCCTATGTATGTGTGTGTATTTGTTTATATATATATACACACACTTTAAAGATGGGTACCCAATTAGACAGCATAGCTTTGTATCATATTGAGGTTTTTTTTTCTTATCTTGAGGCAGGTCCTTATTTATAAATAAGTAGAAACACACAAACTGTATACAGCAGTTTATAGGAAATTATAGCAAAAGCTTTGTAGGGAATTTTTTTTCTGTGAAAATTATTTTTAGAGGCAAAAGTACAGCCATACAGAATTTCCATTTTGATTTTCTCTCATTGAAGAGGAGATATATCATTTGCTTTAGAGTTACTTATAATCTATAATCTAGAACAAGGTTTCTCAACAGCAACATATTGACATTTTAGTCCAGATAATTCTCGTTGTTAGAGGCTGTCTGTCCTGTGCATTAGCAACATCCCTGGCCTTTACCCACTAGATGCCACTAGAACCCCTCCAGTTGTGAGAGCCATAAATGTCTCCAGACATTGCTAAATGTCTCCTGGGGACACAATCACCCCTGGTTGAGAACCACTGGTCTAGAGTACATTTTTATCGGCAGGGATGGCAATTTTGTCATGAATACTCTGTATTCAAACTTTAGGTAAACAGGTGAGTCACTATTTTTAGTAGCATCTCAAGGTTTATGTTCATAATCTGGACAAGAGAGAAATTGAAGGAGGGTACTGAAAGGTTTAATGCTGTAAATTTTCTGTGGTAAATTTATCATTTTGAGTAACTTTAACTTAAAATACTATATTATTTTTGAAAAATTCATTTATTGTCCATGAAAATAAATTTCTAAAAAACTTTTATTGGGACTTTGTTCAAGGTAGAAAGTGCTTTATTACATAAA